CAACTGCAATTTTTTTGAATGGCGGCCACGGCCACTTTTACAGTGATTAGGTCATAACAAACAGTTCACAAGTAGGCCTACATCCTTCATTACATTTGAATCCAAGGATACAGGAAGAACTTTTCTAAAGACAAATTTCCTTCTACCAAATACTGCTCTAATTTGGCAAAGGTCAGATTTTTAACAGGAGTGGGCAAATTGTATAGCACTGGGTTTTCACCAGACCACAAAGTTTGTTTGGGTACTTTCCTGTTAAAGGGAACATTAATTATTATCAATGATTTCTTTTCGATTTATCGATATTTTTGTTTTACTTCACGATTCGTATTCCTTCTATTTTAATATCTTCAAACGCAAAAATTACAAATTAAGAACTAACCTTGTTTAGGCAAAAAAAAAATAGCCCATAGGCCTATATTGGAGTAGGAAATGAAACTATTCTAAACTAACCTAACATAACTAACCAAACTTGCTGTAGGCTAAGTTACCATTTCAAAATTCTGTTTTATAACAGAAAATGCATATGGGGAATAGGCTATCAAACGGGGCTAACGGAAAGTTGAAATGTTACAGCAAGTTTGGTTATTTAAGTAGGTTAGTTTAAAAGAGTTTTATTTCATTACAATATTTTTTTATAATCAATATATCGGATAGAAAATCGCGTATCTATTGGCACAAACAACCAAATGAAAATATCAGGCAATACCCTATATCCATTATTCGATATACTTATCGTGTGGTTAGTTAGGTAAGGTTAACCTAAACTAAGCTAACCAAACGATATATCGAATGAAACAATCGAATAATCAATATTTTCATTCGGGGGTACACTTCCATATCTGTTGGCACAAACAACCGAATGAAGATATCAATCGATAGGCTATATCGATTATTCGACATATCGTTTTGTTAGTTATGTAAGGTTAACCTAACCTAACTAACCAAACGATATATCGAATCAAACAATCAAATAATCAAAATTACTCATTCGGTTGTTTGTGCCAACAGATATGGAAGTGTACCCTCATTCGGTTGTTTGTGCCAACAGATACGGAAGTCTACCCAAAAATCGTATTACAATCTCTCAACAGTTTCATCCATTGCACTTTCATTGTAACTTATGTAGCCTGCATTCTTGTAAGTTAAATAGCATTGCCTATGGTGAAAGACTCAACGGCCATTTTAAATGTTTAGATCTTTGCTATGGAGTGTAAAAGAATGCTAAGGAGCAAGAATTTCATAGGCTTGGCCGGGAGGTTAACCATGATAGACATAGGCCTAATGTCTTATTTTTAATTATCATTAAGAATAAATGTAAAAATTGAGCAGGCATAGGCATACACTAAAAAAACTTTAAAGGGGCAAAATTACAAAAGGATAAAAGTAAATTTTTATAAAGTTTAGTAAACATGCTATGCTATTTATTCACAGAAATGGATTTTAATCTATGCAGTAAAAATGTATAACACTACCCACAAGATTAATATTTTACAAAAGACTACACAATAGGATAACAAAACGTAAATATCACAACATCTACATGTCCAGCGATCATAAATAAATATCATAAGAAAAAGAACTTCTTTTTAATCATTACATGGAAACAAAATGAATAATTAATTGCAATGAAGAATGAAATATACAAAATCAAAATACTACACTTTTGATGTTGAAAACAAACAGCTAAACCAAAACACAGCCAACCAGTGTTTCCATCCGCAAGAAAAAAATATCCCTGGGCCAACGTCAAAAAATCCCTTGTTATCCCTAGTCCGTGTTCTAATAATCCCTCCAATTATCCCTCTTCATCAAATCTAGATAACTTATTATTTTTGCAGCAATACCAATGTATAGCCACCTCATGTATAGCCACCTAAAATATGGTAACTGGTGATAGTATTCTTCAATATCCCATATTATTTATAAAGTAATACCATTGACTATACACAGAAATTTCTATTTCTGTGTATAGTCAATGGTAATACTATATAAAAAAACATTTTTGTACCATTAAAACCACGGCCATCTTTAACTCCAGGCAGGCCACGGCCAGGTAGAATTGGCAACGTTGCAAGTACCGTGGCAAGTACCGTAGTATTGTTTAGCGCAAGACGTTAACATGGAAATACCCAGACAGCACACTTTCTCCTCAGGACATCCCACGGATAGTGCGACAGGATATGCAAGATATCCCATAGTGGTCCTATGGTCAACCTGGGATATCCCAGGATATCCACAGGAATGCGTATTGTCCCCGCCCGGGGATGTCCTACGGATAAGCTCACAGCATATCCGAGGGACATCCGAGGTCATCCCAGGGTAGTCCTCAGGACATTCTCAGGACATATGGGACTACTATGGGATGTCCCTGGGATAAAGTGTGGTCTGGGCCTGAACATAAAAAACACAAAATAATATAGATCTAGTATGAAAAGCTTAATTATAAGTTTAGTAAATTGATTAAATAGTTAATAAACACAAATTTTGAAGAAAAAAATGAGAAAAAAGTTTTTGGCCCAGACGGGACTCGAACCTGATACCTTCGCCTCATGAGCATCTTACCTTACCTCCTGAGCTCTCTGCGCTTGTTGATTGTGGGTGTTTTCAAGTGGTGAAAGAGTAGCCGACAGTTGCAATGGTCGCAATACTTAAAATATTTTTGCTGATACTACAGTATAATATGATTCTGTTAATCTGTTTAGGCCTCAAGTAGTTGAATTGTTTTTCTGGTAGTTGGAGAGGATACTGGTATTTGAATATAGATTATTTAATTACCATTAGATTAGCACTGTTATAATTGATTGTTATATGATTAAAATTAGTTTTTGATTGTTTTATTAATTTAAAGTTAGAATTAAATTCACATTTCACACAACTATGATAGAACTCTAGTTTTCCTGAACTCAGTGGTAATAATATGTCAGTAAAGTTAAGTCAACCCTTGCTAGCCACAGTATTAACAAGACATATTTTCAATCTGGGAAACCTTAAACTTTTAAAACAAATTATAAACATCTTAATGCGTGGGAATCTTATTAAAAAAAAAAAAAAAAAAAAAAAAAAACAGACCAAAATTATTTGTTAAATAATGAAGACGGCCCCATTATAAATTCGGAATTACTGAAAATAATTACATCAAGAACAACACCGTAATACATCCAAAATTCAAAAGATTAATTTTTCTAATATTATTTTTTATTTTTCCAATATCCATTAAAACATCAGTTTTAACTTTGTTTAAAATTAATTTATCAAGTAAATATTTACTTTTTGTACTAGTGTAAACACAGCCTGAAGATGGAAACCTAGTTTTTGAAAGCGCTAGTGAAAAAAAAACAAATTATTATATATTGGCCTTGTTGAACATTTAAATTTAGATATACATTTCATCAGTGGTAGCATTTTTTTCTTCAGTTTGTTACCGGGACATTACGGGACATTACAGGATATCCAGTGGATTTTGTACATGTCCCGGGATGTCATGGGACATTCTGGGATATCCTATGGCTTTCGTACATATCCCGGGACTTTACAGGATATCCTGAGGTTAACTTACAAATCCCGGGACATTACGGTATATTGTAGGATATCCTGTAGATTTCGTACTCGTCCCAGGATTTTGCGGGATATCCTGAGGATAGCGTACATATCCCGAGACATTCTCAGGACATATGGGACTACTATGGGATGTCCCTGGGATAAAGTGTGCTGTCTGGGTAAAACATAAATATAGAATCGAAAAACCAAAGCAATATAAATTGAAAATCTATTTCTGTACATTCAATGTGGGGTCAACATTTTCATAGCCCAGTAACCAAGCTTTCGTATTCTTAAAAAATACATAAATATCATTAGCTTAGCGTTCTCCAAACAAACACCTTTTACAACACTATACTTGCAACGTTGCCACTTCGAAAGCCCTGACTTCGAAGGCCGCGGGCTCCGGCCTGAAATTAAGGTAGCCGTGATTAAAAACTATGTGGTACAAAACCAGATTAATTAACTAAAAAAATTAAACAAATAGTTATTTTTAAAATTTTATAAACTAATAATTTTTATATAAGTATTTACAATTGTTTCAAAAATATTACTCAAGTGTCCAAATTTCAAACTTAATTGTCTTTTTCAAACATGGCCACCATGTCTTGGTGAAAAGGTTACACCAAAGTTACTTACTAACCAAAAAATATCACAGAAATCACCGGCAAACTTTAAACAAAAACAAAACGAAAACAAACTTTCGACATTGACACAGGGCACAGGGCTACTAAGAAAGAAACAAATTACAGTAATCTAGATCCGCCATTCCATTCCACCGACCGACTCCAGCCCTTTGCTTGTTTCGTGCAGTGTTGGCTGTTACTCTTCCCCTTATGTGTTCCTACTTTGAAACACTACGTCACTACCACTACCTACAACCATAGATAAAACATACTCCTTGAGGTGTATCTTTTATCTATGCTACAATCGATTTGTTACCAAAACCTAGGGAAAAAGTAGTATAATCAATGTGTTATCAATACCTTGCAAAATTAGCCATAATAGGTCCTTAACGTTGTTGAAATACAGCCATAATGTATTATTTTATCAATATTTCAATTTTATAATGTCAAAGGCCTGAAATCCCTAGAAAATCTAAAAAATCCTTCAATTTCGCTGATTATCCCTAGTTATCCCTCAATCCCTTTTCAATCCCTCGAAGGCCCTAAATATCCCTAGAAAGGGATTTTTATCCCTCAAATGGAAACACTGCAGCCAACAGCGGCGACAGCCAGAACGAACGATACGTCACGTCATAAAATCAAGCAGACTAAAATTGTTTCTTCTTCTTCAGTGGCTACTGGCCAGTTTTTTTTTCGTTTGCAATAAGTGATCAGTCAGGCTGTAGACGCTTGTATCTAGAGGCGAACGCTGACAGCCATCGTCCATCATCCCTCCCGTGTGCCCCTCCAACTACTGTATACATTTCAGCTTCAGCCTTCAGCGTTTGCATTCCAGTGTTGGCGAAAGTAAACAAAAACAATACAGAAAGAAAGAGAAAAGTAGGCTATTCGTATTCGTGGAAAAAATCTTTCTGTTGAATGTTATTACATTCATTCGCTTTTTGTGATCGTTCAGTTCTCAGTTCTGAGTTCCGTCAAATCGAAATAATTTCCATTTAGTTAATTTGTTCTTAGTTTACTTTTGCCGGTTTCAGCAATCAGCAAAGCTCACTCTTCTCTATAGTCTTCTAATCAAAGTAAGTTCTTAGGTCCAAGTTAAGACCATTGGCTATGAACATTGTTAGTTGAGCACACGATATAAATTTATTCAGAATTAAGCTTAAAACTTTCATCACTATTTGATTTTAGGTAAGAAAATTAGTTTGTTTACGATATAAGTTATACCTACCCCCTAATAACTTTTGATTGGTTGGTTAGGCTAAGTAGTTTAAGTTTAACATTTGGTTAACCAATTCAGCACATCATAAAAGGTGTGCGAGGGGTTAAATGATTTAAGTTAACACACCGGTAAGTTATTATATTACATTGGGGTTAAATGATTTAAGTTAACATACCGGTAAGTTATTATATTACATTCCTAAGCCTAGCTGTCTTCCACTTAAATTAAGTTGTGTGTCGGCCTTGGCTACACTTGTGCACAATAGGCTACAATGACTTAAACTAGGCTAAGCTCTTTTGATCAAGCAAGGGTTTGGATGTTTTTGGCGGTGTTTCCATATAGGCCTAACTTAGGCCTAGCAAGGTTTAACTTAAGTTTAAAGAGCTATGATCCTTCAAAAAGATCACTCGGGGTGCATCAACGTCTTTGATGAAATTCATGCCAAGATACAAGTTAACTTTATGGTTATTGAGGTTGTACAGTGATAACTTAAGTTAAATGAACTAATATAACAACTAAGTTAACATTTTAAAAGATTTACCGGTATTGATTAAACAAAAAGGTAAAACTTAGGCTAAGTTAAGTAATTATTGCGACTAGGGTGACCAAGAGTAAGTTACCATAGTAATTTATATCATAAGAAAATAGATTTTTACTTGAAAACAATGATGCAAAAATCTTTTGCTGACACCAAAAACTGAATAACTTAAAGTAACTTAGCCTATGATTGTTTTAATTTAATTGTAATGTCATATTAGGAGCGTTGAATCTGCACTTCAATGTTTACACTGTAACATCAAAGTTAATAGCCCAAGTCACATTTATTGATTGATTACTTACATGCCATTTTAAACTTATTAGGCCTACCCTCACAACCCATACATAGACAGGTAAATAAGTTAATTTCAAGGCCGTAGCCAGGGGGGGGGTTAGGTGGTCAAACCCCCCTCAAAATCCCAAAATTTAGTAGTAAAAATTAACACTAGGTTTAAAAAGTGCAAGCTAAATTATAAAATAGAAACCACAACAGAGTAGCCTATTATATTTTATGTTTTATTATGTTTAGCAGTAACTATTCATAGGCCTGTTTCATATAATTCTATTAATAAATATGATCTATTAAAGAGGTAAGTTAGGCTAATAAAACTATGAAGGTTAAAAAAAAATAATTTCCTCAAACAAAACAGATTTATCATCCTGTAAGTTAATAGTTTTTACATAAACTAAGTTATATCCAAATTTTTTTTAGAAAAAAGCATGGGAATTGGTGTTTGAAAGTGCTTAAATCTGTTATCCACAGTTAACTTATGACCTGACCCAGTGGTGGTTCCAAGGGCTAAAGAAAGTGCCAAGAACTGTTTTTAGGAGGACATAGCCGTAGCCTACAGTATGGTTATAAATTGATGAATTCAATCGTTATAGTTTAAATTTGTAAATGTCTACTTGCTTATGACAAACAACAGGTTAAATGAGAGTTTTTTTTTACGATTGAAGACCACCAAGCCCCCCGGGAGTCATAAGTCATAAGTCTTTATTGCCATTAAATACAACAAGTACAATAGGCTCGTCATTTAAATAAACAAAACATGCAAAATCAAATCCATCAACAATTCAAATAAATAAGCTCAAGTCAAAAAACAAAACAAGAAAACATGCACAAACCATGCAGGTGTACCTGAAAATGACTCAAATGGTTACCACCAGATTGCTTTTGTCGCAGTTGAAAAATTCGGATATATGGTAAAAAGGATTTAGAGTGAGCCAATTTTTTACAAAAGTGGAGAATTTTGTTGTGTGTAAATTTCTTGTACATTGGGGCAATTTGTTGAAAAGTTTAATGCCTGAAACAGGAAAAGAACACATTGATTTTTGAAGCCTATTTCTAGGTACAAAGATATCAAACTTATTCCTAGTATCATAACTATGTAGAGGTCGTGCGGAACGAGGTGAAGCCTGAGATTTTCGGCGGGAACGGTCTAAAGCGGGGAAATCCATGGTGGGGGTAGGAGACGAGCCGATCGTCGCCTCTCATAGCGACCCTTCCCCCGCCACAACACTATACCCCTCCAAGCTTCACCTCGTTCCGTACGACCTCTACATCGCTATTTACATGAAGAGAGTCTTGTCTGGCTTTTATCGCCACAAGACACTAAAAATGTACTCATTTACAATTGTCAAAATTTCATTTTCAACAAACAAAGGTCTGCAATGGTCAAGGTACCCAGCATTTGAAATTACTCTAACAGCTCTCTTTTGAACTAAGAGAATTCTCTGAGTACCAGTGGCATGGCCCCACAGCCTGGTTCCATAGGCTAAAATAGACTGAAAGAAAGCATGGTAGGCCTGCCTAACTGTTGGCCTTGGAAGCTCAGACATTAGCTTTCTAAGCAGAAACAGCACTCTGCTAAGTCTCTTACACAGGACATCTATGTGACCTTCCCAAGACAAACTCGAGTATATACTTTTTGACCCGACAGTAGTGGGCGTAGTGGCACTTTGCTGCACACGAGAGAAATGTTTGTGCAGTTGCTGTAGAAATTGTGTGGAAAGTTTCTTGAGAGCAGCAAAGGCAGTTTGAACTTGTGTTTGTGTTACTCATTATATATTTCCAAAAGTTATAAATCAACTAAATAAATTAGTCGCGTAGACTTCCGTATCTGTTGTCAAGGACAACCAAATGAAAATATCGATCGATAGGGTATATCGAATAATTCTTCAATCGGTTGTTCTTGACAACAGATACGGAAGTATACCCAATTAGTCTTTCAAACACTGTACTTAACTCGTTTTTAGGTTAGGTTAAATCCAAACATTGAACAAAATGGAAAACGCTGCACCAGCTGATCTTAGTTGTAATATCTTTAAGTGTTGCCAACTTATTTTCAAGCGTACACGGATTACTTGCATAATAAAAGCACACTGTTTTGTGTTGTTTGGTTTGAATAAGTTACTGGTGTGCGCCAAAGTAAGGCTTTCTGTACTATAATCTGTGCAAAGAAGCCCACTTTGTCGGGTGACTGAAGGAAAAATCAATTAATTGAATACTGACATGTGGTTAGGTACAGCCAACTTAAAATGGGATTTCCTCAACTCTAAAAACGGGGGTTTTTGTTGTGTGGATTCACTGGTTTTATGACATTATTTTCTGATCAGTTCAACGAATGTTACCCTACTATAACTTATTATTATGTAGGGCAGATTCTAAGTCTATTAAGCTTACCGTAAAGAATTGGCATAGGCTAACTTACGCTTGCACTGACATTTCTCAGAACTTGGATGGTTTTGCACTATGACTCATCAAAAGCTAAGTTTAATCCAGTGTTTTAAGATAGCTTCATTGGATTGAAAATGAATTAAGTTTATAAATATCAGATTAGTCAAGCTAAAGTCAGGGCTATAAAAATAAGCCTGTAGTCAATCTGAATTCCAAAATCAATGCTTTAAGTTAAGGTACCGTAACTCATGTTAGCCTACAGGCTAGTAGTTGTGTAGTTGTCATGTAGTTGTGGGCCTATAGCTGGAAACTAAGTTTCATGTGGAAGCCCATTAGCATACTATAATTAAGCTCTCATATGAATAGCCTAGTATTAAAAGTCTGACGGTGATGGAAAAGCTGAGTGACGTATGGATAGGAGAGTGTATAGGGCGCGCACGCACGTCCATTCACCACAGTCAGCTGATCAGCCTCGACCTTGGGCTTGAACTTGGTGATAGAAGCTACCTTACTGATAACGCCGATGTGAGCTTCGTTTCCTGGATAATTAAGGCTAGGGCAGAGCTGCTCTATTTGGTCAACGGGAAATAAGTTTTGTTCTCTTTGTAATATGGGTGAAATTGAAACCACATTTCATTTCATCGCTATATGTACAATTTTAAGTAATCTTAGGTTAACATTTTTACACAATAGGGTCCTTTCTGAAGGGGATTAGGCTATATTAGTTTTTTAAATGGCAGGGATTAGCGAGCGTTAGTAAATTATTTAAAAAACGCCTGGCAATACAGGTGGATTTTAATACAAGAATTTAACAATTGAAAAAAAATATCATAACAATTTAATTATCGTACTCCTCCAAACTTCTCAACACAAAAAAAACCTATATAACTATAGGAATTTAGAGAAACTGGTTAGATTGTATTTATATTTCTTAACTTTAAAATATTGGCCATAATTGTTAGTTTAAGAAGGATTTATAATTTTATTTTAAAGGAATCCAATTACTGTTTTGTTTTTTGTTAGATTTAGTTTTAGACGTGCCAACCCGGCAGACGACCGAGAGGTTAGCGCGTAGGCACGTCCCCTGCTGGGACGAATTAACTTGTATTGTGCACTGGGTATTTTGAAAATAAAGCACTTTTTCTTTCTTTCTAAATAAAAGTCTGAAGACATAACTTAAGCTGATGGGTTATCTAACAATATCTGTCAAGCAATTGTATGAAAGTGTGCAGTTTCCTTTATATTGTTGGTGAATTGGGTAACTTAACTTACTCCTTGAAAGAACTTTTCCATCTTGCCTAAAGACTGCACTAAAAACGATACCTTTGTATAATACCCCCGCCGCAGCAAACCTGACAAATAAGCGAATTTCCATTTGTCAAAATTAATTTTTAATTAAATCTATTTAAAAAACATTAGTTTTAATGAGTACCTAGTTTGCTGCTACAATGAAACTAATAAAGTGTATTTTTTAGTAAAATATTAATAGCTGAGTATAAAATAAATAAATTTGCCAATTTTGATCAAAAAATATCCATAAACAAGCAAACTACAACATTTTACAATATTCTCCATAAAAATAACATGGGAATTTTAAATTAACAATTTTTTAATTTTTTCTGTTATCAATAACCATACAAAAACACTTAGATATACTAGATTATTTGTTTTTTAGCTCTTTAAAAAAGTCTAGAGAGAAATTGGGAAATTTTGTGTTTTGAGGGACAAAAATGAGAAAAACCAATTTTTACCCCATATCCCCCGTAAGACACCGTTCCCATGGTCCGATGGATGTTTTCGTTTTATTTTAGGGAGTTTCAATTTAGACCTACTGGAAATTGTGTATAAGTTAGTATGAGTAATTTTATTGTGGTGATATTGATTATGGAAGAGGCAGGTATGCGATGGAATTGGAAGGTGATATTGTTGACTAGGCCTATACACTTTCTCAATTGAAGATTACTCTTTCTACTGTAGGCTGCTATAAAATTTGTCTTTATACGTGTAAGATAGCTGTTCTGATTTATACACAGTTGTAACTGACTACTCCCGTACGTAGGACGGGCTAACACCTCGTATATATAAAACACAATTCGTTACAATTTTTATATTTATGTATATATATATATATTATTTATATTTATATATATATATATTTAAATTTATATATATAAATATACAAATTTGAACGAATGGTGTTCTTGGCCTCTGGGGACATCAAAATGAATAAGTAAATCGGTCCCGGGTCTAGGTATTACCATGCCACCTACGGTAATAGCTACTTCCCTATAGGGAAATTTCCTAAAAACGGCGATAACAAATGCTGTAACAACTACAGGCCCATTGTTTTGGTTCCTGTAATGACAAAGGTAACTTAGGTTATTCGAGTTGACTATGAAGTCTTAGCTGGTTAAAGTTAGGCCTATTTTTATTTCAATCAATTTCTTTCATCTACTCACTATGGGTTTAGAAGTGGGCTTTCTACAATAAAAGCCTTATAAATGTAGTCTCCTATGTCCTTGATGGTTTTGAAAAGGTTTGCCATGTTCAGAAAACCTATTAAGTTAGTAGAATGTATATTAGACAGAACTGAAATGAATATATAAGTTAGAATTTAGTAGGATTTAAACGGATCGATGTTTACGTGACTGCGAGAGACAATGAAATAATACCGCGAGAGAGTTGTTGGATTTTGACATGATCACAGCTTTTGCCTTCTTTAACAAAGATTATTATTACTGCACGTGGTATAGGTATATATATATTTTTTTAATTCTTTCTGTAAGCAATTTTGATTTAATCGGTGATTTGGATAATTGGAGTTCTACTAAGTAGTATCATTGACTAAATATGAGTATCAATCAAAACAATATGCTGGTCTTGCAAACTCTTTCAAGTACTAAATTATGGGCTAGCAGCCTAGGTTAGGCTATAACATTTATCAACACATACATCGAACAAGTGAAATAACGCTGGCCGTGTAATCCAATAAATCAATAATAAACGCTTGGTAATAGTTTACTGAGAATCATATTATTTTTATAACGTCGTAGTCCCCATATGAACATATGAAATAGGCCTAACGCTGGAACGGTAAAAAATAGGTGACAAAAATGCCTAGTGTTATTTCACTTATTACCAAGAAACTAAGGAACATTCCTGACTATTACTGAAATGTAACGACATTTCCCATCTCTAGAAGCGGGTGGTGAGTCTGATGCTTAGCTATGATCGCTAGAGCGATAATTGCCAAGCGACTATTGCTCGGGGCTATTTTGCCAGAAGCATCTGCTCCTCCTTGCGATTATTTGATCAGTTAGTGGTTTTCTTTGGTGGCAAAAGGAGTGCTGTTCGTGAAATGAGCTGTAAAAAGCAAATAGGTATAATATTTGTTAGCTGAGGAATTGGACAATGAGAGATTTTAGAAATGTTGTGCAAACCCAGGAATGAAGTGTGTCCTATGTTTTTAAAGAGACCTGAAAAGGGATATTATAAATTTTTCAAAGAAAGTCACCTCCGTTCTAAAAACGCGGGATGTGCTGAAATAGTTTCAATAAGGTTATCATCTTTTTCGCTTTTGAATCCCCACTTTGATTGTACCATGTCACCAAACTTACAAACTGAGTTAGAAACACAACTAAAAAAAAAATATAATAAGAGGCCTACTAAAAGCAAATTGCATAAAAAAAAAACCTAGAATAAATATATGGTCCTAATTGGAGCGATTTCACATTTAACACTGCTTGGAAGAAAAAAAAAGTATAACTAGGCCTTCTGCAATGTACATGTATGAGTATATGTAACCTATTTAATTGAGCATAAAAAAACTCTTGGTTTTAAATAACACAGCATTAAAATAGGTAAAATTAAATTTAACTCGGATTTCTTTAAGAAGGATTTGCAATAGTAAATTTTTAACAGACTCAAATAGTTAAATAAGATATTGTACAAATAGGCCTACCGGTACTCCTGGCTTTGCACGATTTTTGCTTTACTAGAACACATACGGTACCTATTTAAATAGTATATAGCGAGGAAGGATTATCTGTATGATACTTTATTTAACTTACTCTAGACTATTTTCTTGTATGCTGACAATTTACCAAAGCCATGATTTTAATGGATTTAAAATATTTCAGAGTCAAAAATGCTGAAAACATTGATTAAATTTGGTCTGATTAAACACCAACATGCAGCGGTAGCAACAGCTTACTACTCATCAAAGAGTTGTCCTTCAATTGCTGTGGTAAGTTAAAACTCCTTTTAAAACTTAAGCCACAGTACATTTAAATTTCACCCATCCGTGGTTTACTTCTTTTTTACTTATCGTTTACTCCTTACTTCTTTGCACATGCATCCAGCCTAAAGGTAATGCTGACAGCACGGTATCTTTTATGAACATGGCTGGTCAGTCTCCAGAAGCTGGGACCAGTTACAATCCAGCTAAGAGTACAGTCTCGTTACAGCTTCTTTTGTTCTCTTATCTCCATCATCCAACTTGATGGAACACTGAAGGAGGATATGCTGCAAGGTCTTTTCTTCCATTTGTTCTAAGCAAGCCCTATCCCGGCTCTTGAGCTTCCCGCCCGTAGATATGGATGTTATTTGGAGCTTTGAAGAAGAAGTAAAGGTGGCAGTGGTTCGTCTCTCCACACAATAACTAGTGAGTTTCAGCTATCTAACTGCTCAGTGATTGTTGTCTTGGTGATCACACAATGGATACCCCAGGTGCTCCACGAACAGGTTGTGGGAGTCAGTGGATAACTTTTATGATGGCCTCTAGATCGTCTGAGTTAATGTATAGTGGTTTATATTACCTTGTTACTGTCCAAAACGATCCTTTGTAGTATCGGCTCGAGGTAAGCGTGCACGCATCGCGATAGTTTCTGTCTGTAAATATTTTGAAAATTTAATGTGTTTTTGTTTTGTGTTTGGTAAAAACTTAATGTATACATATCGAATCGTTCCACGACGATTGACCTGATGATGTGACTGTTGTCAAAAAACCGGTTGTCGTTAGAAGAATAAAGGATATTGAAGAAGGTAATAGTTTATTTTATTATTGAAATCTTCAATATCCAGTAGTAGGCAAATTAACTCTAATTTACAATGTCTAGTGACTGTTTTTAGGAGTTTAGCAATTAGGGACACATCATCATCGTCGCCAGGTAGACGTTATCATCTCCCGCGGTCCTGGCAATAGTCGTTTCTGATCACACGATCTTCGCAGACGCGTCGAGTATTGATATATTATGGACTTTTGACGATCGATTCTCAATACCGATACCAATGCCCAAGTATTGGTGGTATGGAGAATCAACACATCCCTACTTATAATAATTGTTTTGGTAGGCTACAATAAAACTAAACTATTACGTACTTCGTCTTGCAGTTCAAATATAGTGTTTAAAGTCCACTACATATGTTTTGCCAAATATGGCATTCTCAAGTGGTTAGCAGAAACATTTAGTCCAAATTGGACTTGTCAACGTTTTATTTCAAATACAAAAATATTTGTATTGTGACATGCAAAATAAATTAACGAATAAAACATTTAAACATGTAAGCCTACAACACTTAACCCGACCAACGGCACTGACTGAGATAGACTTTCAGGAAAACTAAGAAGCCCCGGCTCCTTTGTTATCAGGGGTACAAAGGTTCCCCAGGGACTTTGGTTCCTGCCGTAACCCCTAGGTCTAGCCTGAAGTAATGTGAAAAAAAATTCTGGGCTCGTGCCTAGTGTCCTAGGACAAAAAAAAAAAACCTTACTCGGTGGCATATGATAAGGGTATGTGTTTGCATTCTAGATGCTCCTGGTCTTTTGTTGTAAGCCTATTTGTCTTCTTTAATGATTACACAATAACAATGTTGTTGTTATATTAATTTGGTAGCATGTGTGAGAAGACACACTAGCCTCAACTGTAATCTCTAGTTGTGATATGTTCAGTAAGTTTTCATTGTTACAGGTACTGGCTGGATGTGGTGTGAATGATGGAACAGAAGTTCATGAAGCCAGTGCCGTATTGTCTCACATCACTAGAAACAAGGCTGTTCCTCACATGTTTGCACCTGATGTACCTCAGTTTGATGTAATCAATCATTTGGAGGTTGGTCTCTGAGGGATCCTCTTATTGTCATATAATTACCTATATAGGCCTGCTAAGCAAATTGTATTTTTTTCCTATTGCTCATCGTGTTACTGTTTAACACCAAACTGTCATCTTTTTGAACTTTTATCCAATTTAATATTTAAAGGAAACTTACACTTACACCTGCCCACAAATAAATAAAATGTTGTTTTAAGAGTACTTAAACAGGGTGTCTACCAACCGGGAAAACCGGGAATTGTATTTAATTTTTTACTGGCCATGAAATGTACGGGAATTGTCCTTAAATGCCAGACTATGTCCTTAAATTTTTAATGGGCAATAATTTTATCGATCGCTAGTTGGTTAGGAGCACATATAAGGTTTATCAGATGTTTGTTTAGTTTACATTTTCATAAATTTATTACTAGGATAATTGTGCAATAAAAAACCATTAGAAGCTCAAACCCATTAATATTTTATCACCACAATCAAGTGTCAAGTCAAGTACTTCCAAGAACAGCAAGAACCAGTCAAGAACTTAATGTGCTGGGGCGAATCATGCCTAACTAATCTACATAGATCGGATATGATATGATAATGTTTCCATGACCGATCGAGATATTCAGGATTTTGTCGCTATTGCGGTAGATGATGATTGGGTTTCTCTGTTACACTAAGCTTTACCCGAAGTAAATGTTTGCTCATTTCAATAAATTTATATTTTGAAATTTAACTCTTGTCTATTATTACTTACTTTTCTCTCTGGTACAACTACAGTGAAGAACAATATTAATACTGTTTGACAAATCAGGAAAATATATTCGGTAATCGGTGCGACAACGGTTACGACAAAGTGTCCTTAAATGTACGGGAATTGTCCATGAATTTTTTATCCAGAATGTAGTAGACACCCTGTAAAGTTGTTTCACACCACCTTAGCGTTGCTTGAGACATCTTTGGGCAAAGTAACATATATCCTGAAAATTACTGCACAAGCTACTAACGGTTCACAGCGAAAGCTACGTCTTATAAGCTATGTTTTAATTATTTTTAATCTGCTCATAGTTTGAGCTGTGGTAAAGTTCATAGCTGGTTGTTTGTTTCAAGCTTATTGTTTGATAAATTTAAGAAGTTCTATGCTAGACTGGGCTGGAATGGCATTTAGTTTTCCCTCAGTTCCGTGGTGTAAGCCATGTTTCAGCTCCAGTTTGCCAAGGATTGATTTACTTACTTGGCTTCTACAAATTGTTGGCTAATTCTTCCCAAGCTTTATCTCGAAGATTGGCGTCCCTGTATTTAATCGCAAACTGTCCCATGGAAGGGATGCTTTATCTACCTAGGCATATTGAGCGTAACTTGCAGGGAGTGATTTAGAGTGTGAATCAGTTCTCAGAAACATATACTGATCAGTCAACTGAGCTAATGGTCGTCATTCAGTGCTGAGCCCATGCACAGCCAAAGATACGGAGTGACGCTATGAATGCGTACATAGCATTGGTGACCTCGTGTTATGTAGCTTCAGCGACGCAACACTAGACTAAGCTGGTCTGAAATGGACCATTAATTAACATTAGGAGATTCGTTCGCGACGTCTTTCAAAATACATTGCACAAGCTACGCTATGCAGGTGTCAAATGGCCTCTAGGCTAGCTGTGCCAAACTTAGCTGGTCTTGAAAAACGTCAGATTAAACGTCAGGTTTATAACTTAGCATGAAAACCTACTTCTCACCAAGAGTTTTATCAAAAATAAATACAATGTGATGGTAGATTACAATAGTGGTTCTAAAGAAGCAAGGGTAAAAAATAACTAGTTATAACTTGATTGTTAAAGATTTATATTATTTATGGAGATTTAAAACTGGATCACAAACATTCTTTGGAATTTTAGATTCCACTCATAGACACACTCCATAAAGTTATAAATGATTGTTTTCCAATCATATTGTTGTCTTGTTGATTTCAAGTGCAAACAAGACACAACGCATTGCCGAAATGTGTTAGTAGAATCAGCTCGCATTGCAAGAGGACAAATTCTTCCCTTATCAGAGCTGGCAAAAAACTCTCAGAAGTACGATGCTGTAGTCTTTCCTGGGGGTTTTGGAGCTGCTAAAAACCTGTAAGTCACAATATTTGAACTATTTATCCTCAATTTTAGAATATTTTTAGTATTATAAATTAATAACTATTTCAGTGGATTCACAATAGTCAATTGCCTCTTTATGTTCTACTCCATTGTATCTTGGTGTTAAAAACCAATGCCAACGGCTGTTTTTAGAATGACAATTTTATTTCACTTGTAAATTTGGACAAATTTCTTAAGCAAATTTAACTATAAATACAATTTTACTCTTACCACTCTCTTTTCAACCGTGAGCAGACATCGGCCTTAATGCAATCGTATCACATGTCGGCTTCTAGAAAAAATGGAGAAAAAAATTATGAATTATTTTTTTTTTAATTTTATTTTTTATTATTAGTGTAGTTTAAAGTTAAAGTACTGTTATTCTATATGACCTGCATAATAAATTAAACATAGGGCATGGGGCGGGACCTAAACTGAGAATGGAAATGGGTTAATAAATTAATACCGGTAGCCTATTAGTTAAATATCTAAACTCATATAGGTAAGCCATTTATGATTATTCAACAACGTGTAGTATTTGAAGTTGTAAAAGGTTACAGCTTCTAGGGAGCAGTTGATGAGGTAGAGTTTGGCCTAACATTGAGTTGTTTATAATTTCCAAAAAAGTTAGATGTCATTAATTCAAAACTCTTTCGTCTTATAATATGCACCTTTGTGTTGGTGTCATGAAAATCTAATTCAATCCAAAAAAAAACAATAAATTCAAATGTGGAGAAGCTGACCTGATGTTCACTAGGCACTAGGCCTACGTTGAAAAAAATTTGGCTTGATCTTAGATATACATACCACAAAAAAATAAACAAAACAAAAACACACATTTAAACTGCTGTGTCATTGGTTGGAATTTAATTCACACCAGGTAAAATATTCTCACAGGAATAATTATCATGTTTCTTTAAAAATAGAATAGGCCTACCCTGAAAATCACCAAAAACATGAACCTTTTTATGGCTTTATAGTTTGTAAAGTAAAGAATAGATATACCGGGTGTCCACAAAGTCTTGGTCTGATAAGGAAACCGCATAGTATGAAAACAGTTGATACTAGGATAAAGATGTATTTTCCGATACAACAGAAGATTTTATAACTATGTACAAACTTTTGTGTGCGCCTCCAGTGGCGTGCAGATCTTCTAGACGTGTTTTCAGTTCGTCCCAGATTTTAGTCAGCATATCCTGGGTTACAGACGCCACCGTATTTATGATTCTCTCTCTCTCAGTGTTTGTAAATTAGGAACTGGGGAAGAATAGATAGTGTCCTTGACAAATCCCCACAAAAAGGTATCCATGGGGGTTACATCAGGGGTACGAGGTGGCCATTTCATTGGGCCATCACGCCTAATCCAGTGTCCAGGGAAGTGGAGATTTAAAAAATCCCTCACACATTTTGCTCAATGAGGCGGGGCGCCGTCTTGCAGGAAGATTATCATGGGTCGCAGTTCTTCTAATTGAGGGATTATATACAATTCCAACATATCCAAGTAAACAAACCTATTCACATTTTCTCCCGCAAAGAAAAATGGTCCAATGATTCCATCGTGCATTACCCTGCACCAAACATTTAGTTTTAGGTTGTCCCTTTCATTTTCAATCTCGATCCTGGGATTTTCACACCCCAAAATTCTCCAATTGTGTCTGTAACCATACCACTAAAATGGAAAGTGGTTTCGCCAGAAAAACATATACATTTCAAATAATTGTCATAAAGTTCCAATGAATTTAGCATTTAGGTAGCAACAGCAGTTAGGAGGGGAAAATCATTTGCCTCAAGCTTTTGAACAACCACCATTAAAAATCCTTTGTACTTCAAAATTTTTTGAATAGTAGAACTTGGGATATGCAAATCTTGGCTAGCCTTACGAATTGACACGAGGATTGTGCTGAAATGTTTGGCGCACAACATCTACCGTGTCTTCAGTGGTGCAGGGGCTTCCAGTGTGTTTCTTGTCGACCCCTTCCATAAAATGTGAAAACCATCTCTTGATGCTTCTTCTATCAGTAGCAGGTCTTCCTCATCGAATTGCCGTAGGGGATCAGGTTTCGTAAAACCACAAAACACACTGTGATTTCTCTTAAAAACTTACCATTTCTGATTTGTTATTGTATTGAATCATAATTGTATTGTTGTCAATCAGCTCTTTAGGTGTGGCCAACTTCATTAAATAAAACTTTATTAAATTCTCTTCAAAACTAGGCATACAAGTTGAGTGTGGCTCTAATGGTTTGTGTATAGCAAAGCTATTAAATCAGGTGAAGACATTGTGGAGACCCGGTATTTCAGAAATTGCATTCAATTATACAAAATAATATACTCAGGATGTCTAGTAGTCAGGAAAATCGGGAAAGTCGGGAATTAGTATTGAATTTCAAAATGGTCTTGAAAAGTCGGGATTTAATCTTAACTTTGATTTCAAAGTCGGGAATTTTTTATGATTTTGCCGCGATCGTCGTCTTGCGTTTACGTAACCGCGAAAGCCAATGATGATGATGTCTACACGGCCTCGGGAAATGTTCACGATTTTGCCGCTATAGTGGACGACGACGATGACGTTTCCGAAACCACGAGAGACGACGATGACGTTTCTGTTACAGCGGGTGACGACGATGACGCTACCGTGACCGCGGGAGACGACCATAACGTTTCCGTGACCACGAGAGACGACGATGACGTTTCCGTGACCGCGGGAGATGACGTTGATGTTTACACGGGCGAGGGAATTGTTCTTATGATTTTGCCACGATCGCGGAGGACGACGATGACGTTTCCGTGACCGTGGGAGTTAATGTCGATGATGTCTACACGGCCGCAAGAAATTTTCATTATTTTGTCGCTATCGCGGACGACGGTGATGACGTTTCCGTGACCGCTGGAGATGACGTTGATGTTTACACGGGCAAGGGAATTGTTCTCATGATTTTGCCACGATCGCGGAGGACGACGATAACGTTTCCGTGACCGCGGGAGACGACGATGATATTTGCTCGGCCGCGGGAAATGTTCATGATTTTGTCGCAGTCGCGGACGACAACGATGACGTTTCCGTGACCACGGGAGACGACGATGATGTCTACACGGGAAATGTTCATTATTTTGCCGTGATTGCGGACGTCGGCGATAACATTTTCGTGACCGCGGGAGATGACGGTGATATCTAAACAGCCGAGGGAAATGTTCATGATTTTGCCGTGTTCGTGGACGACGACGATGACGTTTCCGTGACCGCGGGAGGCGACGATGATATCTGCTCGGCCGCGGGAAATGTTCATGATTTTGTCGCGGTCAACGACGATGACGTTTCCGTGACCACGGGAGACGACGATGATGTCTACACGGCCGTGGGAAATGTTCATGATTTTGCCGTGATTGCGGACGTCGACGATAACGTTTTCGTGACCGCGGGAGATGAGGGTTATGTCTAAACAGCCGAGGGAAATGTTCATGATTTTGCCGCGATCGCGGACGATGACGATGATGTTTCTGAGACCGCGGGAGACAACGATGATGTCATTGATGTCTACAAGGCCGCCGGAAATGTTCATGATTTTGCCGTGTTCGTGGACGACGACGATCACGTTTCTGTAACCGCTACAGTCAATGATGATGTCTAAACGTACGGTACGCAGAAGATTTCATGATAAAAAAAAACAATTTGCTAGTTAGAATTTTTTATTGCTGTATTATTTCTTTACTTGAAAACACCACATTATCATAATACTACTTTATGACAAAGACAGGGGTTGGTATCGTATTTTTTAGAAAATTTGGTTAAGCTATAATAATTGGTATCAGTATCAAGAATCGAGAATCGATACATTTTGGTATCCAACACCCACTAATTGTTGAAAAAACTAGTCTTAAAAAATCTGGAATTAGTCTTGAATTTTATAATGGAAATAAACTAGACACCCTGTACTTATAATATTATATTATAAATTAGCCTATATTAAATAATATTAGCTTAGTATGAAAGAAATAAATTTGTCAAGCTTGATAAAAATCTATCCATAAACAAGCAATATTACAACAGTTTACTTATCCTACTAATATTATAAGTGAGAAAGTTTAGATGTATGGATGGATGGATGGATGGATGTTTGTGACAAGTAAACGCAAAAAATACTAAACCAACAGGGTTTAAATTTGGTATGATGATAGCTCACATTCCCGATTAACATATAGACATATTCTTATCTCAAAAATCCTTTCGGGCTCCGCCCCAGTGGCTCTGGAGTTTCCCATGTTAACCTTATGAGTATCTATAATATTAAAACGAAACATTGTTTTTTTATTTCACGATTCTGAATCAACCACTCGACGGATTTTCATGATTTTTGTGTTGAAAGAAAGATAATTTTGAGAACTAGGGAATGTCGAAGCCATAATTTTAGTTTAGGGCCCCAGTTTTTTAGAAATTAAGTTTTAATTTTTAAAAAGTCTAGCAGCCGACGCTAAGATTCTAAACTAGCTTTTGGCATAAAATAATTTGCTTAACATAACAGGTGTAAACATCCAGCGTTGTAACACAAATTCAGCATTTGGATAAGATTAAAAGTTATTTATACTATGTGTAATGCTAATCATTGATACGTTCAATTCTTCATTAGAGAATGACAGATTAATTAAACATACATAGTAAAATACTAGGATGTTTAAATTATTTTTTAAAGCAATCTTTGTAATCTTCGATTTGTTTTAGAGCAATATAATTTGTTTTAACTAACAGCTGGTTAAATATAAAAATATTCTATAGAACTATTTGGTTATTTTATTTACCCTGATTTTGTCATTGATTATAAGAAATAAGTAAAATTAGAACAGTATATATAATTAGACCACAGAAATAAGTAAAACCATTGCTGTTTACAAATCGAGGCTCTGTACACGAGTCTTAAAAAAAAGGATATGCAAATCATTTTACTGCTCAACTTTTTTGAAAAAGAGTTGGAAAATAACAATATTTACACGTATTAAAATTCGTCTTGGTAGCTTTTTGTTTACAATTAATGTTAGTCTCCTTACAATTTGTTTAGATTAGGCAAATATTGATGTCATAGAAAAGGAGATCACAAGAATAATCAGGAATCACGGCCGGATTTTATCCAAAGATAAACTGATGGACATATGAACACAGCGGTATCATTGACCTAGGATACTGCAATTAGACAAACTATCCTTTTATGAAAAAAAATATTGTTTGGCGTGTGTTAGTTATGGTTACGTGTGGGGGCGCTGCTGAGGCAAAATATCACTTTTATTTCAACTATAAATATCTTATACTTTTAATAATTAAATATGGGAAATTACGATGTAGGTTGATTCAATAGGTGGGTAATTATTAGGCCTATATATATTAGAACTGATAACGGTATGTATTATTAACATAGATAATTACGTCACTAGCTTTACTAGCGTGTTTACTTTTCAAACTCCTTCACCATGAGACCAGTTCTTTTTTCAAATGAATGAATCCATAGTTTAACCAAACAGCTGTCTCAAAACAAATGATATGTTATTGTTTTTACTTTTCTTTGTTTACTCTTTAGAAAATGATTCAGTGAAATTGATACGTTTAATGATGTTAGGATACCAAAGTTATATTATGTGTAGGCCTATACTGTGAATTTTATTGGAGAATATAGTTTTATTTTAGGTAGTTTCTATTCAGACCTACTGGAAATTGTGTATAGTATGAGTAATTGTATTGTGGTGATAATAATTATGGAAAAGGCAGGTATGCGATGGCAGGTGGTATTGTTGACTAGGTCTATACGCTGGTCTATACACTTCTCAATTGACTATTACCATTGACTATTGGATACTGAATTATTATATTAATAGTCAAAGCTATTACTTTCTACTGTAAGCTACTTATAATCAGTGTGCGAATCGGCCGCAAATCTCACTTCAACGCTTTTCACATCGTCACAATTGCTGTTTTATTGTAAAGTTATCGGATTTAAAATGTATATCGTATAGGCCTATGATGGAATAAAACATATTTGGCCACTCAACATTTGTTTACAAGATGATTTTTCACATAAAAACTGCAAGAAAATATTTTCTCTTTATATGTGTAGTGCCACAGAAAACATACTACTATAACCTTTATAACCTATAACCTATATAGGTTGTAGTAGTATGTTTTCTGTGATTGTACACAGTTTTTAACTGACTACTCAATTCCCGTACGTAGGACGTGCTAGCATCTCGTTCATATTTAAAAGGAATTTAAGAATTTTAACAGCTGTTTCAACTGCACAAGTTGGTTCTATGATATTAAATAGAATTAAAAAGTTATAAGGTTTGCCAACAGGGTGCAGCACTATAATTTGTTTGCATTTATGACAACAGCTAATTTAAAGCAACTAGCAACAAAAAGCTGTACACAATGATAACTTTACTTTTTTCTATGGTTTAGGTGCAGTGGTAGAACATTATGGCTATGGTAGATTTGCTATACTATAGCATACCAATTCAATTAAAAGAACCAAATTTTCCTAAACCGTGTCCTCTCCCATAACTGCAATAAGCATTTTATACTTATATTCCAACCCTGTACGAAGGACGGGTACTCTGCTTGTACAAAATATGTTCACCATTAACAATCCTGCTAAGACCCAAGAAATATCCACATTCAATTTATATGATCGGTTTTAATATCACATATTATGACAAATTAAATTCATAATATTCTAACCCCATTACACATTTATATATAAGGTGTCAACCACATACTCATGTTGTAGCTTAGTCCCCTGTTACTAATAGTTGTTGTACAGGTCAGATTTTGCCACCAAAGGACCAGACTGCACAGTGATCCCAGATGTAGAAACAGTGATACAAGAGTTTCACAGGTGCCGAAAGCCCATTGGACTAACCTGCATTGCTCCTATTTTGGCAGCCAGAGTCATTTGTGGAGTGGCCATTACTTTGGGACAAAACAGTGAGTAGTTGGGAACAAACTCAGAATGAACCTCTTTAATCCAAACTAATTGGGACCAGGAATGGTTCAGACTATTAAAAAGTTCGGATTATAGAACATATTGTTGTTTTTACATAACTTAGCTAAAACGTGGCTAAAATAGATTGTAATGGTTACGGTAAAAGTCAAAAATTATTTATAAAGTAAAATACAGTGTTTATTTAACATAGTAGTAAACATAGCGAATAAACAGTCAGTGTTGGGGAAGCTACTTTTAAAATGTAGCTAGCTACAACTACTGCTACATTTCCAAAAAAGTAGCTTTGCTACAGCTACAGCTACAGTTCCGAAAAAGTAGCTAGCTACAACTACAGCTACAATGAAATGTAGCTACAGCTACAATTTTAGCTACTTTCCCAAAGACGTTACTTTTTATTCCACGCACATTAGGTAAATGTAAAATTAATTGCAACAACATTTTTATTGAACAAACATTTAAACAAGAAATGTCAGTATTGTATCTAACATTACTTGGAAAACAAATTATTCCTAGATTTTATTTAATTTGTTGGCATTATAAACCTAACATTACAACAACAGCATCAAATAGTTGGGTGTCCCATCATATTTAGTACTTATTTTTAAATATTGCATTATTTTTAAACATCTTATACGTAAATTTCATTAAGTTCAAAGGACATACAACCAAACTATATTTTAAAAGCCCATTTTATTTCTTTAATATAGATTCATTTATAGATGTCTTATATCAACAATTAAGACCACTTAAACTGTAAAACGATTATTTAAAAATACTTTTTTGTGTTACAGAGCCTAGCCTAATGAAATTGGAGTGTATTGCCTTTCTTTACTTTTAATGTTAAAAACGACATTGCTATAACTTTTAACCATAGTGATTTAAGTTACTTGTTCTATGAATAACACTTTTCAATCTCAAGAAATCGTCCTTTATTGTCATTATGCATAGGGCAAATTGTGCTTCAACCTAGTTGGTACAGAAAACAGTATTCAGCAACTTATCCTGAAATCAGCTTTTAATTTAAACATGTTGAAATTTGTAAAGTAAAAATAACATGTAGGCCTACTTGGCTATGTAACAAGTTGGCTATAGTAGCTTTGTTCTTGCAAGGACTAAACAGAGATATTCCTAATAATTGAACTTGGTATTTGTCTTAAACCATAGCATAGCCTAGGAATAGTCCAATACAAGAGCTGTTAGCAGGAGCAAACTATGCTATTTTTTAAATGTAAGTTTCATGTAATATGGAGATTTTTTTCGTTGCAATTATCATGTAGTCTAGGCATATCTTAAATCTCATCAGGTAATTTCCTCTTTGTTAATTTAGTAAACCTTTGAAAAATCTTTGTAATCTAACCAAGGAAGGGCTTGTGATGATGAACCACAATTAACAGCTGAAGCAAAGGTTGATAGACCAGCTTTCTCATTATTTTAAGGTTTAGTGTTGGTTTCCATTAAAACCTTAGTTAAAACACTATCGATATAACAAAGAAACTAAATTGATTACTAATTTCCCTGTCAATCACTTGCAAGCACTCAATAGCTTGTCTTGTCACTGGTACCGGTAAAACGGTTTAAACGTCGTCTGCATCTAACGATTTTATTTTATCTGACAGTAATCATAGAGTAGTAAATTAAGGAAATGAGAGCTAAAAATAAGGATAACACTCATTTAATGGCCTCCATGTCCACACAACGTTGTAATAGGGAATGAAAAGGCTGCAACCAGCTGTATGAAGCCAAGAAAGTAGGCCTAATTGTTTTGAAAATCTCAGTTTGAAAGATGTTGTTTCACGTAAGGTTGAGGTTATGGTAAAAATCACTATCTCAAACAATGTTAATGTAGCGAGAAAAGTAGCTAAAATTCCGCTACAACTACTTTAAAAATGTAGCTAGCTACAAAATCTTAAAAGTAGCGACGCTACAGCTAACGCTACAAAAAAAGTAGCGCGCTACTGTAGCGTCGCTACTTGTAGCGCGCTACTCCCCAACACTGTAAACAGTACTGTCCAATACAGTAGTAACAGTTATGGAGCGTATATCAATAAATATAGTATACAATAAAGAACTACTTGTAACAGGTATTCCCAGTTGAGACTAAAATAAAATTTAGTTAAAAAACGATACAAGCTTTCAGCTGTCAAAACATTGTATCTAAAGTTTGATATTGAACATAGCCTTTGTAATGAATTGTCGGGGAGGTCAAAATCTGTTTAAATCATATGTTAGACTAAATTAAAATAGTTGGCCTATTGTGGGAAAATTACGTATCGAATAACTTGAATATCTAAAAATGTCTTATCGCGTTCAAAGTGTTACCAAATAAAATCATATGAAATTCCCTAACTTGTGTTAAAAAATCTAAATGATCGGACAAATAAGAGAAATTAAGTAAAAATTTAAATTTAAAATATTAATTTACAATGTCTGAGCCAAACCGCCATGACGTTGCGCGGAGAAAAATTGACCAAGAAAATAGTCCGAGACTGAAATGCAATTAACTCGAAAGTTGAAAGTCTAATCAAAAAACTTAAATCAGATGAAAGTCATTAAATATGTTTCTGAAGACGATTGTATAAATTTCATTAAGAATACATTAAACTATAAAAAACGTAGGAATGGTTTTTAATTTGGTGGTTATGGCGCGGAAAAAGATTGAAGAATGGGGAAATAGTTAAAGTTATTAAAGCAAATATCTCGAGAATTACAGGTCCGATAAAAGCCAAATTAAAATAGAATGACTTTTAGAATTTTCTCTAGCTATGCTGCAAAATTTGTAACAACAACTTTAAAAAAATTGAAGCAATATGCGTTCTTGAATAGAGGACAGTGACCGGTAACGGTAGACTCGGCCACTTCTGGAGAAACCTATGAGTGATGACCTGAGTTGATCTCTTAATTAAAGTAAATCTCTAGTATCGTGTAATGTAGGCTCTAAGATGAAAGAAAATCAAGGAACTATAATGAGCATAAATTAGCCTACAAAAATGTAATAGTGAAAAGTAAAATAAATCAGCGATTCAGAATGATGTTGTTCAGTTTTTCATTCAGTCCAGGACTGTACAGTCCGGGACTGAAGGAAAACCGGAACGTGTATGGTAGGCCTAAGGGTTTAGAATTGTTTGATCAATCAACAAAATGGCAGACCTAGTAGGCTACCCGTGGCAAATCAGATATTACAATGATTGTACAATGTAATACTTACTGGCAATGTGCAATACTTCCTATGATACTAAAGACTATATGGTTTAAAATTTAAGTTGTTAATGTCATACTTTGTGCTATTGCTACAGTTTTAATCTATAAACTCTCCATTTTGCTTTAAAAGTCAAATAAATTGCAAAATTGTGCAGGCTGCGATGGAGAGAAATGGCCATACAGGGACGCTATCAAGGCAGCAGAACAAATGCAAGCAGTTGTGGAAAATAAGGCAAGTCAAAATATACATTCAATTAACTTTTTATTCTTTTTGCATCTTTAAAAACGTAAGTTGGATATAGGCCTTATTATTTATTTGTCCAGGTATTTTTTTTAACTAAAAGTTATTTAATAAATAATTCCTAAATCCGGGAACTAGGGGTGTGCGAATAGTGATTTATGGGTACAAATCGAATCAAATAGAATTCTTCATAATATTTTTGAATATTGAATATTACCGAGCGAATATTTAGGTTATTATTATACTCTCCAAAGAGTTGCCCAATCACAGCTTTGGAACTCTACTTAGTTTAATAAACCTTAATTTAACCAATGTAACATTTTAAAATAATATATTTTTGCATTTACGTATTTGTTGTTGGTACAAAATTGGTACGGTACAGTGCTTCCATTTTTTTTTAATTTTATTTCATTAACACACTGTTGGCCCGTCCTACGTTTCGGGAATCAAGCAGTCTATTAAAACTGTATGGTTATATCAATATGTCCATTCCTAATTCAAGCTTAGTTTAAGCAGTTCAAAATTTATTGTAAAGAAAAAGCTGCCAAGATGAATTAAAACTTGTGATCGTTGTTACTTTCCCAACATTTCCTCAAAAAGTCGAGTAGTAAAACCATTTTCAAAAGCTTTCTTTTAAAGACTCGTGAGCTTCGATTCTTATACAGAAATGATTATAGAATCTTACTAAATTCCTATAATCAATGACTAGGGGTGGGCGAGTAGTGATTTTTCAATTCGAGTCGAGTCGAGTATTAGAGTAAAAACTCAAGTGTCGAGTCGAGTAGTTGCACATTAAGTAGGCCTAGGCCCAGGGTTTAAGCTGCGGTAGCATTTTTAGCATTTGCTATTCACAACTTAAAAATGCTTCATTATTTTGCAGACTAGGCCTATGGCAAATTTTCTACAAATAAAATTGAATATGTAATGTTCAAACATATGTAATATTAGCCTACTGTAATTTTTTGTTTTAACTTAAATGCTTATTGAATAATATTTTTGCTACAGTTGACTTAGTTGTCTGAGAGTTTGTAGCATTTTGCTGAAACAAATTTGATCCTAGCCTAAACCCTGCCTAGGCCTAAATTGGTAGTTTAAGTATACCAAATTTTCTAAATTATATGGTTACTAATTATTAGTACCTGTTACCTTAGGCCTAATAAAAAATTTGGCCTAGACTAGCCTACTTGTTGTCTGCAGCATTAAATGTACACATCACTAGTTATACTTACTTGAATACTTGTTGTCTTAATTCTTAATCGAAGTTTATCGGATAGATTGCGTCGTTATACTAATATTTACAAAAATTATTATATACAAAACTTGTTTTACAAAGTATCATAAAACTTAAAACTTGAAACTTAGGCTGTGGTAAGCGTGTCTGTTTCTCAACCTGGCATCAAAGGATCATTTGACAACTCGTCAAGACTATACAGGGGCCTAACTGGAAGTTCCTCCTCTAAAAACTAATACTAAATTCAGATTCACACCAATTACAGAAGAGGAATTACTGAAGGTAATTTCTTTGTTTGACAATAAATATTCTACTGGTATCGATTGTATTCCTATGACCCTTATAAAAAAATCTTCACAATTTTTACTTAAACCCCTAGTTCATCTAATTAATTCATCTTTCATCTCAAGTCATTTCCCAGATAAATTAAAAATTTCAAAAGTTATCCCTATTTTTAAAAAAGGTGACCGTAAAGATATAACTTGTTATACAGGGTGAATAAAAAGTCAAGACCCCCCCCTCTAATATTTTTCCAAGTAAATATACAGAGATATCCTTTTGGTGGTCGAGCAATCTTAGCAGGAAGTTTCATTTTATCATTTTTAAATTTTTGAGTGTCCCCCCAAAAGGGGGGATTTGGGGGGCAACTCAAATATTTTAAATGTTAACCCCCTTCAAGTGACACCTCATTTTGAAGTGTTTACAAAAACTTAAAGAATGGTGAAAACTAGAGGTCGCTATCTCTTCTCTATCCAAAATGGTAGCCCGTCAAATTTTGTGGAAAATCAATGGTAAAATTGTTAATATTGGCTGTCATTTTGGATAGAGAAGAGATAGCGAGCTCTGGTTTTCACCATTCTTTAAGTTTGTTTAAACACTATAAAATGAGGTGTCAGTTGATCGGGGTTTCTATTGAAACATTTTTAGTTGTCCCCCGAATCCCTCTCTTTTGGGGGACACTAAAAATTTTAAAATGTAAATCCCCTTCAAGCGACACCTCATTTTGAAGTGTTTACAAAAACTTAAAGAATGGTGTAAATCAGAGCTCGCTATCTCTTCTCTATCCAAAATGGCAGCCAATATTAACAATTTTACCGTCGATTTTCCACATCATTTGACGGGCTACCATTTTGGATAGAGAAGAGATAGCGACCTCTAGTTTTCACCATTCTTTAAGTTTTTGTAAACACTTCAAAATGAGGTGTCACTTGAAGGGGGTTTACATTTAAAATATTTGAGTTGCCCCCCAAATCCCCCCTTTTGGGGGGACACTCAAAAATTTAAAAACGATAAAATGAAACTTCCTGCTAAGATTGCTCGACCACCAAAAGGATATCTCTGTATATTTACTTGGAAAAATATTAGAGGGGGGGTCTTGACTTTTTATTCACCCTGTAGACCTGTTTCATTGCTATCATCCTTTTCAAAAATATTTGAAAAGATAGTATACAATCAGTTAGTAAACTTTTTAGAATCGAATAATTTGTTAGATAAAGAGCAGCATGGTTTTCGGCAAGGGAAGTCCACAATAACTGCTGCAGTTGAATTTATTGAAAACATAATTGATGCAGTTGATAAGGGTGAAAGGGTGGTGGGTATTTTCCTTGACCTCTCCCGTGCTTTTGACAGTGTGGCACACCCTGTTTTAATTGAAAGATTAAAATCACTGGGTATTCAAGGAAAAGAGTGTGCTTGGTTTTCCTCTTATTTATGTAATAGGCATCAGTTTGTTGAAATGAAATATCTAGATTATGGTAATTATTGTAATTATTTAAGAAGCTATGTCTGTGAAGCTCAGGTGATTAAGTATGGAGTACCTCAGGGATCCATCCTGGGTCCATTACTTTTTTTGTGTTACCTGGATGGTCTGCCTAAGAGTACCAGCTTCAGTTCGATGTCACTATATGCAGATAATGCTAATTTAATTGTTAAAGGAAATTCCAGTTCTGATATTGAGCTCTCAGCCAATTTGGACTTAATGAGTATTCAAAATTTTTTAAATCAAAATAACCTTCTATTAAATACAAGCAAATCAATGATAGTAAGTTTCTCCACAAAACAAAATAAAATAGCTCTGGATCCAAAAATCAAAGTTGGCAATAACATAATAAATAAAGCAAATCAGACAAAATTTTTAGGACTTTTCATTGATCGACATCTATCTTGGAATGATCATGTTGATAATAGTGAAAAAGATGTCATCAGGAATATATGCACTGTGGCAAATGTCAAAAATCTCTGACCTTACAGTGCTGAAAACAATATATTATTCTTTAATACACTCTCATCTGGCATACGGAATTTGTATATATGGAGCTACCTCAATATATAATTTGGACAAAATTCTGATAAAACAAAAAAAAGCAATACGAATCATGTTAGGTTTAAAAAGCACAGAGAGTGTCGAAAACTTATTTAAAGATCTTAAAATTTTGACAGTTTACAGTCTTTATGTCTTAGAAACAATAAAGTATGTCAAAGAACATGAAAGTGATATATTTTTTGAATCCAAGCATCATTATGATACCCAAAATAAAATTATTTTTGATAAACATAATCTGTATTTTTATAAAAACAAAACTAAATTTATGGGCACCAAATTTTTTACTCAGTTGCCAAATTTAATTAGAAATGAGCAAAATTACAATAAATTTAAAAAATTGCTGAAAGAATATCTAGTTAATAAAGCTCTCTATTCTTTTTCGGAGTTTCCTTAAGTGAGGGCTCCACTACTGGTTGCCTGGGTTTTATATATAGTTTTAAATATATTGTATTTTAGCTATATAGTATGAAAGTATGGGATTTTTAGTTATATGTGACTCTATTCTGATGCTGCAATGTATTCATACGAATAAAGTTTATTTTGACTTTGACTTTGACTATTTGTGAGCAAGTTCTTCATCTCGGACTTAAACCTGTACCGTCAAGGTTCCTTAGGTGGTTTGGAAGGGAGTTGTAGATTTTGATAGCCGAGCGGGGGTATCTCCTTAAGGTATGGCTCAAGCGGCAGCGAGGCATATCCAGGTCATGGGCCCTTCTTATTCCATACTCATGCCTATCACCTCGGGTCACAAAATCACTAAGGTTTTCCTTTAGCAAGACCAGACTATTAAGTACGTACTAGCTCACCACTGTGAGGATTCCCAATTCTTTGAAGATGGGTTGGCAATGTTCTCTTGGGCCTTTAGATGTTATCACCCTCACAGCTTTTTTTTTAGCAGAAGTATTTCATGGCATGCAGGGGAGTGTCCCCAGAGCACTATTCCGTACTTCAAATGGCTATGAAATAAGGCATGGTATATGGTTATCAGATAGGTCTTAGTGATTTCATCTCGGAGTTTCCTTAGCAGATAGAGAACTCTGGATAACCTAACGCATACCTTATCAATGTGGTTAGACCAGTTTAGCCTAGAGTCCAGCCAAAACCCAAGCAACTTCACAGCTTCCTCATGATCAGTCCTCGACTTGAGGGTGCACATCAATGATTGAGTCTTTTCTTCATTTATTTTGAAGCGATTAGCAACAAACCAGGACTTAGCCTCAACAAGCAACTCGCCCTCAACAGGTTAATGCCTTTCCCTCTGGTCACCAGGGTGGTGTCGTCTGCAAAGAGGAGGGTGCAGCCGTTTAGCCAAAGGTCGTTTATCATGATGCTAAACAGTAGAGGGCCTAACGCCGAACCTTGAGGAACGCCATAGTTAGGCCTACTGACGTACGATGATTAATCATTAATAAAGAAAACGCCTCAATAGATCTTTCT